CAGAGTTGTTACTGTGTAGAAATGATGATCAGCAAACATGTCAAACACCGAATTGTTATTTCAATGCATTGTTTTTTTTTCTTTACTTACATCGTTTTGACTCCTTATAATGTAATTTCGTTATCATTCCTGAATAATAATTATCTATGTTCCAACTATTTATGATCATTCCCATTCCATCTTTTGCCATATTAAAAATGTCAATAATATTAAAAGTTTTTCATATCAGAAGTTCATATCAAATCTAATTAATCTTTATATGTGTTGAAAAAATATCCTAGTAATTTAAACGGGAGAGTCGACGCTACGATGGCCGGCGCTGACAACACAAAATTTAAACGTGAGTTCATCAAATACTAATATAATGAAACTGTTAAGCCTAACTATTATATATTTTTAATTTCTTAGTAAGAATGAAAATGTAGTGGTAGAATCAAGGAGTACAAGATTATTCAGCATAATGTATGAAAACTTAATTTAATAAGGCTTGCATTTGGTGCATGGCAGTACAATCTCAATTTCCTATTGCGCTAGACACGCATATGTAACTGAAAAAAATCTTAGGCATACATATTATATCTTTTTAAGAATCAGTGGATATACATTAAAGCTGAATTTTAAAAAATAAACCCTTCAGGTTACACAAAAAAGGTGAATTTTAGAGTTTTAATCCTAGTCGCTCAGGCTGCTACTGTAAATGGATTTGGTTTCAAAAACCTCTCTAGATATTTGGCGACTAACCTCGCAGGCTTGTCTGTCGAGGTATCATTTTCTTCATCTTTGAACAGCAATTTTCCTCTCTGTTGTTGTGACTATTCAGATAGCATAAAGTGGAAGAATGAAATAAATAATTGTACTACTTCATTGGGACATTTTTATGTTATTCGTTGTGCGCTGAAGGCGAATTCTGCAAGAAAATGTTCATTTTAATGCTACGGAAAAGTATCGCGTCACACGCACAGTAAAAGGGATTTCAAAATACCCTATCGAACGATGACCAGCAAGCAAATTACCCGAGTTCAAAGCACGCTGCTTGCACCCGAGATTATTGGGATTAGTAACACAGAACATAAATGTGAGCTGAATATTTTATCAACGATCCGGTAAACTACGATCGTATGCATGCTGTTCTAAGAACCCAACGGCTAGATACACTTTCATTTGAATTAAAAGCAATAATTTCGCAGTTTCGAATGCTATTGTGTCAAGGGAAGTGATCGTATCAGCATTCCCATCACGTTGGCTGAGTGAATCACTCAACAAGCTACAGGCTAGGATGGCCTTGATAAAAATTTATGAAAGTTGTCTAGAAAAATAGGTCACCTGTTGTCATCTTTCTTTTCAATTCACTCCTTTTTCAATAATTATTTTCCGGTCAACTACGGAAATCAGACGTTTGACTAGACGAAATTTGGTAAATAAAAAACTACACCGTGGTTTTCGTACCTCAAAAGGTTTTGTTCGGCCAGTTGCCTCAAATTTTATACCAAAGATAAGACTTGTGACCAGATAAAATGACTTTGAATGTCACCGTAGACTTGCAAAATACTTGCGACTTGACATGTGGTATAACGTATAAGTTTAATTCTGGATAATGATTTTCACAACAGAATTGCGACTTGACAGCGAAATTCGCGAGAGTATTAACCAAAGACTTGCGACCTGACAACGGACTTGTAGAGAGTTTTTACCAAAGACTTGCGACTTGACAACGGACATGTATAGAGAGTCAGTTCCAGAGACTTGCAACTTTACAACGGACATGTAGAGAGTCTTTACCAAAGACTTGCGGAAGACTTACAACGGATAGACAACAGGCGTGATGTCTGCACTAGAGTTTACATCAACAACTCTCATGCGCACGCACGGCTCCTGAACCGACCTCGTTTTTCTATTGTTTGGCGCATTTGGGTTGAGCCAATTTAATTCAAATCAAAATCCGTATCCCTTCCTCACCTGAGTAATAAATTTTGACGATTCATTATTTTTAATGCTTCCAATATATGGCCGCTGAGCATGCAGTAAATTATGAACAACTTAAACGACAACGTTAAAATATTTTAAGCGTCCAATTTCTATCCACAATAGCTGCAATCCAGGGGCCATACTTTCAAAATTCGTTAAGTGAACGTAATTACTTACGCACTATTTTATTGTCTATGATTGGTGGATTTTGTTTGAAAGGCCGTCAATGATTGGCTGATGAACTTACGATCTCTCAACTTTTTTTGAAAGTATAGGCCCAGACTTGACTGAGGCTCAGGTTATTCGTCACATAACAAATTCTCGAATATGATCATTTATTAATGCCAATGACATAGTTTCTCGAGAACTAGCCATCAATTTACCAATTTACTCACTCAGTTGATCTGATATTAACGGCATTTACCCGCCGATCTTCTGATAACTTTGATTAGGCTTTTGTTCAACCTTGTTCAGCTGTTCAGAAAACAAGCCTCACAAGCACAAAAGTTTCATTTTAATTTTTATTACTCTATTTTTCTATAGATACTTAGAAGCTTGAATTATAGATTTTTTTGCATATTCATAATAATTTATTTTGAAAATAATGTCTTCTCAGAGGACCCTGGCGGCGAGTCCGAAGGAGACAAGCTCGAGAGCCTCATCAGCTCGCTGGGGCAGTTCGAGAGGTCAGCACTTTAATGCTCTTTATGAGTAAATAGGCTATTTATTTTTATTTATTTTTTAACTTAATAAATATTCAACAATAATTCATTCAAGTATTTTTAACATCAACAGAATGAATTATTTTTCTGTTGATTACTGCTATTCTAAGAACTAGCAAATTTAATTATAGCTCTCTGTTAATAATATTAGTGTCATTCTAAGAACTTACATAATGAATTATGGTTCTAACAATAATATTACTGTTATTCTAAGAACCAACACAATGAATTATTGTTCTGTCCATTACTGGTATTCTAAGAATTAACATAATGAATTATAGTTCTATTAATAATATTACTGTTATTCTAAGAACTAGCATAGCTAATTATAGTTCAGTTGATAATATACTGTAGTTCCGTTCTGATAATAATATTACTGAAACTCTAAGAACTAATATAATGAATTGGGGTTCACTATTTGAGTCACTGAGTACCGTAGTGCGTATTTGGTACAGTGGTTCGTGGTGCAAGTGGTACGTTATTCCTATAATAGAATGAATTACGCTTCACTATTCAATTCACTGAGTACCGTAGTGAGTATTTGGTACTGTACTGTGGTTCGTGGTGCAAGTGGTACGTTATTCCTACCGTACCCCAGGTACCAGAGACACTATTTGAGTCACTGAGTACCGTACGTAATGAGTATTTGGTACTGTGGTTCGTGGTGCAAGTGGTACGTTATTCCTACCGTACCCCAGGTACCAGAGGTACGTGATGGTGCTCTGCTGCATCGCCACCTACATGCCTGGGNGTATACGCTCACCATCAAACGGTATACGCTCACCATCAAACGGTATACGCTCACCATCAAACGGTATACGCTCACCATCAAACGGTATACGCTCACAATCAATCGCTCTTCCATTATTCCAAATATCGCCCTACTTCAAACGCCCGAAAATCAGACACCAAAAATGCTTGTTTAATTATTGTTTGTGGGCACTAAAAAATTTGGGATTTGTTGGCCTAGATTTTATTATTGAATTTTTATTGTTATTTTGATGCCTAAGTAGATTTCTTCTACTGGTTCAATTAGATTTTTGTAATGAGATCAAGAATTCATAATCCATTTTTTTTCTTTGAGAACGAACGTACGTTCCGAATCATTTGGAGGTGATCAATAATAATATTCATTTGTAAGTCATGGTATCTCAGTTATATATAAATATATAATTATCGAAAATATTTTACAAAACAGTGCGAATATTAAAAAAAGGCTTGCTTTCGTCATTCGTCGTGTGGTGTAATACATATTTATTTGCAACGATTAAACCTCAAAAATTAAGATGTAATCTTCCTGCATCAAAAACCAACCTAACCTAAGCTCGAGTAGGCCCTTGTAGTTTAGATTGCCAATACAGTAGCAATATTTTAGGAGTACGAAACTCGCAAGAATTTGTGAAAATTCTGGCCTCGCCTCGTACAACGAAACTTTCCTGAACTTTACGACGCCGTACAATCCGTCGGAAGCTCGCTGGAGTCGCTGCTTGCGTTACGCGTCCACCGCTGAAAGCGTCGTGGACTTTACCACCTCTTGCACGACATCCAATTTCTTGGAGGAAAAAGTGGCGTGTGGGGCTGGCCACGTCTTCGATGACAGCGTCTTCAGTTCTTCCATCATCACCGATGTAAAATACTAACGTATTAGTTACATTACCTTTTGAATAACAAAACGAAGCGATATGACAATATCTTATTGTGCTATCTCTGATATATTATGAATTTGATATGTTTTTTTTAAGTTAATGAACGATGAGAGCTCTGAACGAGGAGAGTATTGAGCTCTGAATTATTAAAGTAATAATAATTTAATTATATGTGCAATGCCATACACGAATTATAAATAAATTTGGGATCAATTTCATGAGCAGAAAATGACGGTTTTTAATCTAACTCAGATATTTCGTTTGGAGCAAATCTCAACGCGCCGAGCTGTAAAAGTTAATCTCTACATCAAGTAATCATTTCTGACATGGTAATGGCATCTTCGGAAACTATACAACTATATCAGTTCACAACTATTTAAGATTTCAGTTCCCGAGTATCTTAAATATTCTTTGTTAATTTTTTTTATAAAAAGGCCACCCACACTCACCATTCCAACAAAAAGGAATTAATTTTATTAATTAAAAACAGGGAATGGTTTCATGTCAGTGATCAGGGCCCCGAATTGTGGTCAGTGAAGTCAATATCAAAATTTCGGACATGGAGCAAGGATTTGTGCATTTCTAAACATTTTTACTCCGATGTAATTAACATTGTCAATACGATTTGGTTGAAATTAATAACTCTTTCAATTGTACCTCTTTGCAGTTTGATTTGTGGTGCGTGTCTCCCTTCTACCGGTCATTGGCCGGGATGTCCTATATGCTGGGGATGTTGCTGGGTGCCATCATACTCGGGGACCTCTCCGACAGGATAGGACGGCGGGTAAAAACATGTTCTTTATATTTTACAACTAATTTAGATAAATATATGGTCAGTTGAAACTTGGCTTAGCCTGTCTTTGAATAAAAATTTTCTTTTAGCGTTTGCATTCTAATGAGTATTTACAGTAAACTCAAGAGTGAGACACGGCACGACAGAAATGTTTATGCACCCAAAAAATAAATTCACTTTTGTCCAGATAGTGTCACACGTTTTAGCTTGTATTTCGAGCGAAGAATGGATGTAGTAGTATCTGTATATATTTATCTGGGTATCTTCATCTGGGTATGGGTACCTCTTTATGAAGGTTCGTCAACATTTGGTCGAGGATGCAGTCTACCCATGTGGGTCAACACACAAAGCAATGTGTGAGACTTGACTATATAGAGATTCACTTTTTGCCCATGAAATTAGGTCATCTTGACCCAGTTTACCCCAGGAAAAGAGTGTTCTGTGTTACGCTCACCTGCTGCTCATGCTATGGGTAAGAAAGTGTCACTATTTGGACATAATGACACGCTCATTTTTTTTTAATGTTTCCCATACCAAGTTCAGCGAAGATTTCCCTGAACTCCTGATGGAGATGTGGTAATATGTCACTCTTCTCAGGGCCTTCCACTCCCAGCCCTCAAGTAAGTCACTGATTCGCTTTTCGACGACTATGGCATGGGTCGAGAAAAGGCATCTTGATAACTGGGTCATTTCATCCAGTGACGCGAAGTCAGTGGTGCAGCCAGAGTATTGACAATTGCATGCCTCCAGGGTGGCCCAGTGGTAACAGTTCAGAGTACCAAGATTGGCGCAGAGAGGCGCGGGTTCGATCCCAGCTCTGTGCGCCAGTTTCTGATCAGAATCGGCAAGGAGGCCGGGCGCTTAAGCACTGCAGAATTGTAACAGTGAGTTGCGAGTTTGAGACCGCAAAATGCTGTGAATGTTCTGCGATGTTAAGAATCGTCGACAGGCCTCCGGCCTAATAAACGCTGAAACCGCTATATAATATATATATTCACCGCCGAGCGCGTCTCATAAGATATCACAGTAAGGTTTTGCTAGCCTAGGTTATTTCTATCCCAGCAGGAAATCTGTTGAAAAAGTTACAAGTAATAATATTTATATGGAATATTTTATTAAAATGCGTCTATTTTTGATACTACTATCAACTATTCTGGTTGGATCATCAGAACTGGGCAGCGCTACTTTGAAATGTAGCGGCCGCTACCGCTACCGCTACATGCTCTAAATGTAGCGGGCGCGACCGCTACCGCTACATTGCTTTAAATGTAGCTCCGCTACCGCTACCGCTACTAGCGGCCGCTACATGTAGCGCGCTATTGCCCATCTCTGTGGATCATGAATAAATATATCTAAAGATCGCCTCTCAAGGTTCTGTAAATGTGAATCAGAATACGGTGGCCGTGGCGAGCAGCATCGTCGGCGTGTGTGGCATCGTGTCGGCCACGGCCCCCAACTACCCCGTGTTTCTGATGGGTCGCTTCTTCACGGGGGCGGGCGCCATGGGCATGTACCAGATCACATATGTTCTGTGTGAGTAATTCGCATTAATATTGCTATTTTTAATACAATGTGGAAACCACTTGCATGCCTATTTAAAATTAGACAGATATGCAAAGAGTTGGGATGAATCACGTGTTCGCGGCCAACCATTGTCTACGTCAGTGCAGTCTAACGAGGTATTTGAACGTAGGAATGGACGGAACTTTATGAAAGTTCGCTTGATAAGAATTTCGTGCGACATGAAACAATGCTTGATAAGAAAGAATCTCTAAAAATAATTTAGTTTTATGTAGCTTCTGTATTGGCTTACGTTTCTAGCTTATTTCTCTCAGAGCAACAATATTCATCTTTTTATTCTTAACTGCATTTCAAATGTGTCTTAAATGAAAGGTCAAAACGGGTCAAAATTCAAATGTGTCACGAAATGCACCTCTCGTATTTCAGTCTTGCAATTCCTAGATGATGACATGGAGGTGAAAGACAGATATATCCATTCTAACTATCCATGGCTGTGGTGGAGTTTGTAGGTGCATTAGAGACATAAAACAGGGATAAAATTTTAGTGGTACATTGTGCGAAAAGAAATGATAAAAACGATCTCTCCGGCGTTCTAGCGGCTGGCCGCTACGTGAAAATCGGGGCACCGATTACAACATCCGTTTTTAGATGTTGTACGGATTTCTAGTGTTAAATTTGAATAAAAACTTCAGTACGGCTTTTCTTTTCACGTGTCAGCCGGCCACTAGAACGCCAGTGAGACCGTTTAACGGTGACTTTTCTTACAGTGCAGCTAGCTAAGAAAAATATTCACGGCAGTGATGGAGTTTGTAGGTGCATTAGAGACGTACGTAAGGCAGGAATAAAATATTAGTAGTTGCGAACTTGCCAATATATTCATGGTAGTGGTGGAGTTCGTGGGGGCCAAGTACCGCACCACTCTGGGCATGCTCATCCCAGTACCCTTCTCGGTTGGCGAGGCGGCGACGGGGGTACTCGCTTACTTCATCCGCGACTGGCGATACCTGCAGGCTGCCGTCACCGTGCCAGCCTTGCTGCTCATCTCGTATAAATGGTACGAGCTGAGACAAACACGAACTTCTTGGTTTTATTGTACGAAACGTGTTTTTTAGACCAATACTGTTTTTAAATTTAGGTTTTAATACACGGTTTTATATAAGAAAAGTACAAGAATCGGCGACAGGCCTATTAAGGCCTAATCTTTAATGCCGAAGATACAATACTGTACTACTATATTATATTACGCCATCGCATTGCTACGTGCGCCGTTTAGCCCATGCGCTCCGTGGCTTGTGAGAAGCCACAGACGCCATTACGGACCCATTCGATTTACGTTATGATGCTTACATTATTTTAAACCATGTTTACGTGATTTTAAAATGCCTCTCCCTGTTGAGAATCCTGCTGACTGCGAAGAGCGCATTATAATACGGTTCCTCTGTGTTTACGTGCATCAGTTTACATGCATTCATCACCAAATCAGTTGTGTGTGGTGAAAACATGATGAGTGACAGAATGATGCGGAAATGTATTGGGGCCTTTAAAGATGCCCGCACAAACAATCAAAACATGACGAGTGACAGAATGCTGCGGAAATGTATTGGGGCCTTTAAAGATGCCCGCACAAACAATCATGATGAGGAAAGACTAGGGAGACCTTCAGTCATTACCGATGATCTGATTCAGAAAGTGTACAATTCATCAACCCACGTTTCGTCCTGAGTTGAAACGTTTCCTGCTGTCACAACAATGCTGGGTTCTCACCATGCTACCGGGCTCGTGCCAGACATATGCCAATCATGATCCAGTCCAATATTATTTAATGAATTTCTATAGAAGCATTCACATCAGCCGTGCAAGGTACCTGTCATGCCCATGGTGTGAATGCTTCTAAGAAAGTGCATAAAAGAATATTTAACTGGCATATATATGCCTGGTAAGTGCCCGGCAGTATGGTGTGAACCCGGCCTAATTAGGCAGGCAAGCATCTTTGACGATAGCATACAAAAGCTGGTCCCAAGATAAAATGAATGTCTTAATATTAAAAGGAATTATATATAAAAGTAGAGTGAAGCTTGATCTTTCAAGTCAATGAATTATTTTTGGAAAAATTTACTTGCTTCTTTTTATGTAGAGAAAGTACTTACTAAACATCCCTCGAACGTATTTCTCAAACAAGTGGAGCGTTCACAATTCACTGGATGAATTTCAGGGGCGAGTTTTACTCTAGAGGAAATCAATGAGACTATTTCAACAATTCTACGTTGAACGATTGGACTCGCCTGCTGGACGAAAGGGAACCAGTGGATGCATTGTACCTCGTTTTTGCCAAAGCATTTGACAGTGTTCCGCATGAGCGGCTGTTGCGTAAAGTGAAGTATTTGGGAATTGAGGGAAACGTACTCCAATGGATCAGAGATTTTCTAGTAGGTAGACGATATCGTGTCAGTATTAACGGAACCGTGTCAGACTGGGCATCAGTGCGCAGTGGCGTGCCACAAAGAAGCGTTCTTGGGCCTGTTTTGTTCGTTGTTTTTATAAACGATTTGCCAGAAGCAGTGTCCAGCGTGTGCTCCATGTATGCCGACGACACAAAAGTTTATAATACAGTGAAGGATGCGTCAAATAAAGAGCAATTACAAGATGATCTTGACAGTTTAGTTAACTGAGCTGATACGTTGCAGCAGCGGTTTAATGCTGACAAGTGTAAAGTACTTCACCTCGGGAAGAACAATGAACAGCAAATGCGGAAATGTATTGGGGCCTTTAAAGATGCCCGCACAAACAATCAGGATGAGGAAAGACTAGGGAGACCTTCTGTCATTACCGATGATCGGATTCAGAAAGTGTACTGTAATGTGTAAGAAAAGAGTATTTCTCTGCTTCGAGAACGAGTGTCGTCATATATTTTTTTCTGGCGACATGGTACAAGTGACTTCTACTCGCTGTTTAGTGGTATACCTTTTGATTGTATATATGTTCCATACATTGCTTGTTTTCTGCATGTGGTTAGGGTAAGATGCACTTTCCCGAATTTAAATTAAGGCGTTGCTGACACAAGTTTAATTAAGCACCCCCAAAAAAATTACCATAAGGACGATCATTTCATCCTTGAGACTGCTTCCGAGCAATTACACTTAATTGAGAACTATCATTGTCCCTATGGCAGTGTGATGATATTTTGTCCCTATGACAGGGTGATAGTATTTTGTCCCTACATCAGGGTGATAATATTTTGTCCCTATGGCAGGGTGATAATGTTTTGTCCCTATGGCAGTGTGATAATATTTTGTCCCTATGGCAGGGTGATGCCGGAGTCGGTGCGGTGGTTGGTCACCCAGAACAGGACAGACGAAGCCATCGCCTCCCTCAGACTGATGGCCAAGACCAACGGCAAGGAGCTCACGGAGGACAGCGTCGCCTTCATCAGAGAGAAGGTTACTCAAACAGGAAGGCATTCATTACCATTCATCTAACCATTTCTGAGTTCTCGTTTCGGATTCGGAATTCGAACATTACATTTAAACTTCTAATGAATGTAATGCGATGTGTACCTCTCAAGGTACATCCCATTTAGAAAAATGAAAAAATAATATAACTCGGTACTCAGTGCAGTGAGTGACAGAGAGCGCATTTTCTCGTCGACGAAAACTTGAGGTCACGGACGGACGAACAGACGGACAGACAGACAGACGGACATGGCGAGCACAATAGTGCATTTTTTACATAATTGAGAAAATGCGCTAAAAATATATATTCTCTAAAAAAGATAATATCTCTCTCTTACAACTTACAGCCTGCCTGCCCGGCTACTGAGCTCTTCACAACCGGAAGCAGTCAGGCCGACCTCGTAGGCCACGAGGCGACCGAGGCGCCCCAAGAAAAGCCAAAGCCTCGCAAGAAGACTGTGCTGGACCTCTTCAAAACCCCCAACCTCAGGAAAAGAGCCCTCACCATGTTCTTCTGCTGGTGAGCTCACCATTTGAACGTTTTTGGTCAAGTGGCGAGAAGCCGATTTATTAATTCGTTCTGCTCGAAACGTTTATAATTGTATTATCTATTTATGCCTGTGAGGAATTTTTTTTAATTGATTAGTTAGTTCAGTCTTTTACCTACGTTCACATCGTGAAAGAATTTTAACGTCAAAGGAATCGATTTGCCAACTCTCCATTTGCTATACCTTAAACTATTCGTTGCTCCTTAAATAACTAGTCGGTAGTGAAGAAACAGACGTACTCCTGACAGGGCCGTGGTGACGTTCGTGTACTACGGCTTGTCCCAGAACTCTGGCAACATTGGAGGCAATATCTTCATCAGCTTTATTCTGACGATGGTCATAGAGATTCCTTCATACATCTTTACAGTGTTCGTTCTCGACAAGTGAGTAATGTAGAACATTGTAAGTGAATGTATAATGCAAGTATTTCGACATTACGAAGGTAAATAGTAGCACAATCTATCAAATTGTGAGATAGTAAAGAGTACAACACAAATCCGCACTTCGTCGCTGGAAACGACATCGACACATATATTTCTTCTTCGTGGTAATTTTTAATCTGTAGATTTGTTACGGTGCCTTCGACATGCAAGCATAAAAATTGCGTTATCCAAGGACTGAAATATTCCAAATATTCTATTTAGCCATTTTTTGGGAAGTACTTTGATTTTAAGGTAAATTGTAGCCTTTTTCAAGTAAAGTGTAGAATTTTTTAATCTTTTAAATTTGGTTATTGCAGCACGTTATGAACTTGAGGTCTTTAAAACCCAGCAAATTCATAGAATATACTTATAAAAAAAATTATCAAAAAATAATTATCAAAATTACTCATCAAAAAATAGAAAATTTATCAAAATTATCAAAAAAATATTTCAAAATAGTTAGGTTTTCAGTTTAAAATTAAAATATCACCACAAAAAGCAACGCAACAACTTCACTCTTCGCTTCGAGCATATCTAAAAATTTTTATGCTTAAATCCATCTAATAGTAATTTGTGCAATATCAAAATATATAACACGTTCGACCAGCACCGTTAAAATATGAAAAAGATTCCCTGTTAATTTTATCAAAACAAGCAAAAATAATATTGTCTTTGGAAAATTATTTTCACCCTCAAACAGCAGATTAATTTAGTGTATAATTTCTCATTTATTCTTCTTAGTTGAGTTCAAACCATGAGGTTATAAGATAGTTTATCATTTTATAGCCAATGATAATTGTTTCTTGATATAAAGGAAGACATAACCATTCGCGAATAACAATTTTTAAATGCAATTGGCTCCTGCTTGTTATATTTTATGAATTCGTTTGATTTTTCGAACGATCCCGCGACTAAATTTCCATCGTACGCAGGATTCTAATTCGAAAAATCCATCAAGTTCCTTACTTAGTAAACTTTACCTTAGATTAACCTGCGCATTAAATTATTAAAAAATATAATTCAGTACTCACTGCTGTGAGTGACAGCTAGAGAGCGCATTTTCTCGTCGACGAAAACTAGAGGTCACGGACAGACGGACAGACAGACAGACAGACGGACGGACGGACATGGCAAGCACAATAGTGCATTTTTTCCATAAATGAGAAAATGCGCTAAAAAGGTTGTTTAGATGATCACTAACTATGTCTCATGTTGCGATTTTATATGATAATTATTCCCTTATGATATATACATATCTTGTTATCGTATATGCAGAATGGGTCGCAAAGGAACATTAATGTTCGTGTTCCTCCTCGGCGGCGTCTCGTGCATCATCGCGGGCACCCTACCTAAAGGTGAACATCCCTAACAAAATTTAGAGTCGATATCTTGACGCATGATTAACGCTGATAATTTGTATAGATACTTGATATATAATCTTATTTAATTCGATTGTGGTTGCATGGAATGTCGCAATTATTATAATTGAGGATAATATGGAAGTATAAAATACATATAATTGTTTATTACTCGATAAGGATATATTATTTTGAGTGACGATCACGACATTGTGGCTGCCACCATATTGTAGCGAGCGCATTGATTATCATCGCGATGTGCCATACATTAATAATAATTAACAATCTTCTATTAATTTCGTACATTTGTATAAATTTATGCTCTAAGAGAGCACAAGTGTCGGCATTTAGTGGCCTATGGCACCTTAGAGGACTTCGTTAAATTAATATGAATACAATAATTATTTATGTATATATATTTGAATAATAACTTCTTTGAGTTTAATTTCTCAAGCTTTCAAATAAAGGTACAATAATGGAGTCAACAAGTCTTAAAATTTGTCCAAGTGGAAGAAGTTCTTAATAAAACTGGCATAATTTTTAACCTAACCTGTCTAAATGAAGGGCTCTACCCTAAATATACATATTTGAATAATTAAGTCTTTATTTCGACTCCAGACTACCACAGCGCCATCATGTCGCTGAGTTTGGTGGGCAAGTTCGGCGCGTCTGCTGCATTTTCTTGTGTTTATATCTACGCATCTGAGCTGTTCCCCACCGAGTACCGGGGCATGGGGGTTGGCTGCTGCTCCATGTTCGCTAGGGTGGGGGGCACTCTCGCCCCTCTCATAGTAACGCTGGTGAGTGTATGAAGGCCGCATTCAGTGTATGAAGGCCACCTTCAGGGCATGAAGGCCACCTTCAGTGTATGAAGGCCACCTTCAGGGCATGAAGGCCACCTTCAGTGTATGAAGGTCACCTTCAGTGTATGAAGGCCGCATTCAGTGTATGAAGGTCACCTTCAGGGCATGAAGGCCACCTTCAGTGTATGAATACCACCTTCAGTGTATGAAGGCCACCTTCAGTGGATGAAAACCACCTTCAGTGTATGAAAACCACCTTCAGTGTATGAAGACCATCTCTCGTAACAATTTTCTTCACAGCAATCACACCTCCGTGGTCAAAATTCTCTCTGGTTCCTTTCATAGTAATGCGAAAAGAACTCCCGAAAAGAAAACCAGCCACTTCAACCAAACAGCTATCACTACACGAGAAGACAAAGCAGAAACTATTTAAAGTATATTTATATAGTTGACGAAGCGTTATAATGACTGTTAAATGAAAACATGGCTTGACAGCCATTGTTTCACGGCCAAATGCTGAGCCAGACCCAGCTCCAATCCCCACGCTCACATGCTTTCGCCGATTCATCTCGCTCGCCAGCATACTTTGTAACATGTTGTATCTTATCACGGACGAACATTGATGCATACTTTGTATCATCTTGTATCTTCTCACGGACGAACTTTGATACATACTTTGTATCATGTTGTATCTTCTCACGGACGAACTTTGATACATACTTTGTATCATCTTGTATCTTCTCACGGACGAACTTTGATACATACTTTGTATCATCTTGTATCTTCTCACGGACGAACTTTGATACATACTTTGTATCATCTTGGATCTTTTCACGGACGAACTTTGATACATACTTTGTTTCAAGTTGTATCTTCTCACGGACGATCTTTGATACACACTTTGTATCATCTTGAATCTTCTCACGGACGAACTTTGATACATACTTTGTATCATCTTGAATCTTCTCATGGACGAACTTTGATACATACTTTGTATTATCTTGTATCTTCTCACGGACGAACTTTGATACATACTTTGTATCATGTGTATCTTCTCACGGACGAACTTTGATACATACTTCGTATCATGTGTATCTTCTCACGGACGAACTTTGATATATACTTTGTATCATCTTGAATCTTCTCACGGACGAACTTTGATGCATACTTTGTATCATCTTGTATCTTCTCACGGACGAACTTTGATACATACTTTGTATCATGTTGTATCTTCTCACGGACGAACGTTGATACATACTTTGTATCATCTTGTATCTTCTCACGGACAAACTTTGATACATACTTTGTATCATCTTGTACCTTCTCACGGACGAACTTTGATACATACTTTGTGTCATCTTGTATCTTCTCACGGACGAACTTTGATACATACTTTGTATCATCTTGTATCTTCTCACTGACGAACTTTGATACATACTTTGTATCATCTTGTATCTTCTCACGGACGAACTTTGATACATACTTTGTATCATCTTGTATCTTCTCACGGACGAACTTTGATACATACTTTGTATCATCTTGTATCTTCTCACGGACGAACTTTGATACATACTTTGTATCATCTCGTATCTTCTCACGGACGAACGTTGATACATACTTTGTGTCATCTTGCATCTTCTCACGGACGAACTTTGATACATACTTTGTGTCATCTTGCATCTTCTCACGGACGAGCTTTGATACATACTTTGTATCATGTTGTATCTTCTCACGCACGCGTTTCTCCCACCAACAGTTCGAGAAACAGCCCGCGGTCGCTCCCGTGACATTCGGGGTACTGGCCTGCTGCAGCGGCCTGCTGGCCATCACTCTGCCGGAGACCACAGGGACTCGTCTGCCGCAGACCATCGCAGAAAGCGAGAATTTCGGCAGGTTGGTGGTTGTGGACTGGAAGCTGGAGGGCAGGTGGATGGTAGTGGACTGGACGCTGGCAGGGCAGGTGGGTGGTAGTGCATTGGCAGGTGGGTGGTAGTGGACTGGAAGATGGAGGGCAGGTGGGTGGTAGTGGACTGGAAGATGGAGGGCAGGTGGGGTGGTAGTAGACTGGAAGCTGGAGGGGCAGGTGGGTGATAGTGGACTGGAAGCTGAGGGGCAGGTGAATGGTAATGGACTGGAAGCTGGAGGGGCAGGAGGATGGTAGTGGACTGGAAGCTGAGGGGCAGGTGGGTGGTAGTGGACTGGAAGCTGGAGGGGCAGGTGGGTGATAGTGGACTGGAAGCTGGAGGGGCAGGTGGGTGGTAATGGACTGGAAGCTGAAGGGGGCAGGTTAATTGGTGGTAGTGGACTGGAAGCTGGAGGCGCATTTGGTGGTACTGGACTAGAAGCTGGAGAGGCAGGTGTTTTGTAATGGACTGGAAGCTGGAGGGTAGTTGGGTGGTAGTGGACTGAAAACTGGTGCGCCAGGTGGGTGGTAGTGGACTGGCAGCTGTGTAATAGGTGCGCAGTTGTGTACTGAGCTGGTGTAACAGGTAGGAAAATTATTCCAAGATAATAAGGCGTAATTATTGTCGGAACAATCCAATAATACCAATGAATGAAACTGATTTTGTAAACTAATCTTGTTACAAGTTTGTATCATCGATATCGCCCCCCATGTTTCATTAAAATTTCGCATGCATTTTTGCGATGTTCTCATCATTAATTTTTGCAATGATATGCTAATTTTTATTAGTTCGTTTTCACAATTTGGATTATTCAGGTCAGGTATTATCATTAAATTGCTCGTTCACAGTGATCAGCGGACGCTTGACTGCTGCCTCTGCCTCACCCAGCACAGATCTGCGACTTCTGATAAGTAACTCCACGTCCCGCTTCCCTTACAAAATTTAGAGTCGCCCCAGCTACTGGTAATCCAAATCAGAAGCTGCCGCGTCTGTAAATTTTCACTGGGACCCTAACAAAATTTAGAGTCGCCCCAGCTTCTGGTAATCCAAATCAGAAGCTGCCGCGTCTGTAAATTTTAGATGTTCATACGGTTTAGATGTTCAGTATATATCCGTATATACATATAATTATATAATATCATAGCAGAGTTCACTATTTTTGTAAAATGGTTGTCAAAAATGCCATTACTATACCGATTTCGGTAACAAGAATACATGAAGTTAGTTTCAATGTTTTGCATCGTGAAATGTTACATTGTTTTGAGACAGGAAAGAAATGGAATGAAAAATTATGTTCAAAGTAAAGAAAAAATAAATTCAGTTCTTTTATCTCTCCAGCTATAGTTCGATTAATCTTTCAGTTACATAATTTGACTTTCGATTTTATAAGTCATTAAAATCTCCCAGGAATGAGTGTTTATGCTATCGATTGCGATTGAAATTTCAGACCATTATTTGTCCGAAGTATTCGTTTCACTCTGTGACTGTTTTTTTAAACATTAGTTAATTTCCCAAATTGTAAATGCTATACTATGAACAACTTTCCCAATAATTATCAAAACACATGTAAAAACGGCAACGATTTTAGTCTCAATAAATGCGTATTCTGGATTAGTAAGGCAGAAATAGTAAGAATTTCTCACTACCACTCGTGTCATGTTCGTTGATGAAACTTATTCCAATTTAGGTTTTTGACCATCCAGAAGCTCTAATTTTGCTTTCTCTAAATTATGATCAGTCCGATTCAAGGAAATGTATTGATACCGTACACTCCACTCATGGAATCTTCGAATGACAAGTTCCACATCGTCATTATAATCATAGAGATTTTATGTTTTTATTGTTTATTCCCGACCGAAATCAACATCAACTTGTCTTGAATGAATTTTTGTCCATGGAAATATTCCTAATGCCAGCACATTTGTATAGTATCTTACAAATAAAATCGATAAGTTGACTGCAGTTTTCAAATTTGAACTTCCCAGCCGCGCTAAGAAGTGGCCTCTTTATTGTGACAATTTGTGCCAAATCTCAGCAGATTTTCGGATCCAATTTAAGCCAATCACCATTAAAAATAAAAATTGTCAAGTTAATTTGTATTAGTTATTTTCAATAGACTATTTAAGTTAGTTAGCCCTGCAAAGGTGACCAAAACTTACCGTTTGCCTCACTACGTGATAACTAAGTGGACAAATGTATTCTAACGATGTTCACAGGAGCGTATCAACTGCAACTAAATAGCTTCGTTTTCAAATTTGGTCATAACCGATTTTGATTTAACGAACTTAAGCCTCGTCTACACGTTCAAACTTATCGCCTGTCGTACATGTCAAGGCAAGTTTGACATGGCAGACGGAAGACTGATGGACGTGCACAAGATTCAGATTTCAGACTAATGTTCAGTTAAATGCTTGGGCAATGTAGGACGTTGCTTTGATCGAAGTTTATGCAAACGTAATCAAATTGAATAGATTAAGACGCGCGCGGATGGTTACTGAAGGGTAGAAAAAATCGCTAATAAGAATTATTTTACGGGAAATACAATGCGAATCAACATGTCAGCAAAATTTCTTACTAATGGACATGGAAATCTAAAATGAATTGTTGTATGTTGTAGGTACATAAATACAAATAGCTACACTTTTGTGAAAATTTCCACCAGCTCCCCACGAACAACTACTCTCAGATTTTTGGCAACCAGACAAAGCTACAAAGACCCTGAACTTCCTAACTAAAATTTCCCACCGAATCGACACTTCAGCGAACTCGCCTGCGAACTGTCCTACGCACTCGAATGCAAAACCTAACTTCACGTTCAACTCTGCCAGCCATAAATCCATCAATAATGAACGGATTTTATTCAAATTTGGAAAATAAGTAGATGATATCAGTAATTTGTGGATGGAATTTTTTTAGATTTTTACATGAATTACTTTTTTGTTAATACGGAAAACTTAACTTCATTTTGAACTCTGCCAGCCATAAATCCATCCATAATGAACTGATTTTATTCAAATTTGGAAAATAAGTAGATAATATCAGTAATTTGTGGATGGAATTTTTTCAGATTTTTACATCAATTACTTTTTTATTAATACAGAAAACCTAACATCATTTTGAACTCTGCCAGCCATAAATCAATCAATAATGAACGGATTTCATTCAATCTTGAAAATTATGTAGATATTATCAATAATTTGTGGACGGATTTATTTGAGATTTTTAAATCAATTACTTTTTTTCTAATGCCACAAAATACTGAAACTTGACCTAACTAGGACCTAACCTGCGAAGTGAACGCGAAGTTAGGTTTTCCGTATTAATAAAAAAGTAATTGATGTAAAAATCTGAAAAAATTCATCCACAAATTACTGATATTATCTACTTATTTTCCAAATTTGAATAAAATCAGTTAATTTTTGATGGATTTATGGCTGGCAGAGTTGAACGTGAAGTTAGGTTTTTCATTCGAGTGCGCAGGCCAGTTCGCAGGTGAGTTCGCTGAAGTGTCGATTCGGTTAATTTACCAGGGAGCTTTGGGTGCAATAATACCGGACCATTGCACGGGCATTTAAAAAGTTCTGAAGACAGAATTCTTCAACATAAATTAGGTGAGAAAATTATTAGCGAGTCGCTACTGTATTTTGGCACATTCTTTCCCACAAACTGTGCGTAATAGGTAGATTTTCTTTGTTACGAATTCCTAGTTAGCCGTAGGATCAATTTCCTTGCCTGTATCACAGTCGCATCGGTCTGAGTGTTTTCACGTTTGTCTCTTGAGCCTTTCGATTTAATTATATCCGAGCAAGGAAAACATCGATATAGATCTACGAACTTACTAAATAAATTGTGATACCAGTATTGTAAATCATGCAGTGTCATTTTCTCGTTCTAAACTGGATCTAGCAATAAACAACATAGTTCTCAGCTACAATACAGACAATGAGAGAAGCTTGACCGGATTAGTAGGCTGCCCGTCCATACGCTCAAAATTGCCAGTCTTGCGTGAACACAACGATCTTTCTTATCCGTCATTTCCAGGTTCGTCAAACATAACGCTCAGTCTTGCCTGTCAAACTTGACATGACATGTAAGACTGACGATAACTTTGAACGAGTACACGGAGCATTATGCATGGAAAATGTACTATAAAAATGCGTTCCAAAAATGTACTATAAAAATTTCTCCCATGAGTGTTGAAGCGGTTTAAGTAAACGCGCATATACACAGGGAGATTTGTATGTTTATACTTTAGTGGTTGGATAATATTCTAGTGTATAATCTCCAAGCTGAGAGATATTATAATTTCATTGAGATTATTAGGTGTAAAGCTGTACTTTGTCGCATAGTTAATACAGTAAATATGACGATGCTCGTGAACTTTGGCCGATAGCTTCACTAATAACCAAGAGAAAATAACCATCATCGTAAGCCAGATAATCATGGCCAGCCCATACCTATAAAAATGTTCCGATGGTTTTACAATAGTTTTAAGCCCCAATAAGGTTAAATAATATTATTCTGTAAGTCATAGAATAAGAGTAAGCTAAAACCTTCTTCACGCGACTCTGGCAACATCGGAGCTCTAGAACCGTTGAAGGTTCTATTTTGAATCGAAGCGTGCGGTGCTCGGGTGAATTTAAAGACATCTCTAGGATACATATTCAATTGCCACTGGGTGAGTAGGAAATGTAAACGTATGTAATGTTGTATGTAAACGTTCTGTGTGGTTACCCTAGCATTATATTCGAAAATGTTCTATAGGAGCCAAGTGCCTATAAGAGGCCAGTCTGCTGAACCCTCGGTCTGCTCGGTTGAAAGATGTAGTCGGTTATTGGTCGTGGTATAATTCAGTTTCTCGTTGAAATAATCAATAGAAAATTGTCTGAAACGAAAAAATGAATAAATTTATACAACATTTGTATACATTTATAAAAATCCATGTAATATTCGGTCCCGGGGCACGGGCTGCCAGTCCCTGACTGAGCTGACTCTGTGAGTGAGGCCAGACTGAGACTGGCCAGTAACTCCGGCCCGGCCCGGGTAGGTACAATAACTACAATTTTACATTATTTTATCTATATACATTTTTCTATATTGATTATTAATCAATTGTCCTTGACAATCATATAAAACATATTCCTGCTGAGTGCTGACTGCTGTCACGCTGTGGCTAGCATCATTTCAACTGTACATTAACCTAGTAGCTATTTGCCTGTAGCTTTGTGCAAATTTATTAATATTGCACCATCCGGCCTGGGGGGCTATGGGCTAGAGAAGAGTCTTTGGAAGAGTTTTGTGGCTCTCATAATTTCATAAATTGTCAAGAAAAACATTGTACCGTATGTCAGTATGTGCTTGTCTATCAGCCCACTTAAGCCTCGAAATATTCCTTTTGTCAGATCAATCATCATGAATGTATATATTATATCCACTTTAATTTTACCAGGTAACTCATTTCTGAATTTTATCTCCTGCAAATGATCATTTATATATACATCAAAGTGATCAAACGGGGTAATAAGGGACGGGTGTTGGGAAATCGGGACAGTCCGTCATTTTGTAGAACTGTTGTAGAACCCTGAAGAAAAGTGTGAAAAGTGAGATTTTGGAAGAGTACCTCTGCTAAGTTACTCTTCCAAAAAAAGCAAAAAAAATATTTGCTGTACCATGTTAAAAAATTTTACTTGCATAAAAGTTGCACATAGGTGTTAGCTTAAAAATGTGACAACAGAATTTGCGTGGCTCATCCACCAAAAAATTTTGGCCATTTCCGTAAGATGAGGTAATAATGGACACCCCCCCGGTGTAGTAAGGGACACCCCTAAAAATGCATTAATAGCTGAACCTTGGTCAGCAAAATACCCAGTTAATGAAAAAATCAATTAACAACAAAGAATTTTGATTACATTTACCATGCTCGGCAAAAAAATGTGACTAAAAATTTTTTGTCACATT